TCACATTGCGATATTTTGTTTTTCTGCGATATATATTGCGATATGAAAAAAAAAAAAAATCACCAGATGACTTGGGGTGAAAAATTATTGGGGTGATTTTGTAGTAGAGTAAATCAGCATAGAAAATAAACAAATTACAAGCACAGATAAATATAATAGAACACAGATACAAATGAAATGAACAGCGCTTTACATTTTTCAGGTAAGTCTAACAGTTTTCAGGTACAGAAATTGAATAATCAAATGTAAAATAACACTGCAAAGTCTTCACTGTATAAATTAAATCGAATAAATCTGTGTTTAAGCTACAAAATTTTCACATTTTCTTTCTCAATTGTTTACCTTCACCTAAGCCATAAACAACTGTGTTTACAAGGAAACTTGCAGAGACATGCATTTTGACAATTTCGCGCATGTGTCATTTATAGACGCGGAAGTAGGGCTGCACGATGCGCATCTCGTCAGTAAAGCCGGTTCTGTGATTAGTAGTAAATCTCCAGCACGTGCTTTCAGATGGAGCAGCGTTTACTACACAGACCTGTAGTTCACTGACAAGCTACGCAAATTCGCGTTCATAATCGCAGACTTCGCATAATTTCATCGCGCGATTACGAAATCGAAGAAATCGTTTGCTATAATGACAGCTGTTTGCATAGTTTCTCAGTGAACTACGGCTCTGTGTAGTAAATGCCGCTCCATCTGAAATCAGGTTATCATTACACTTTATTTGCTCTGTTTTATTTTGTGAAACATTACTACGTATATGGAATAACCGTTTTATAAAAGCAATAAACCCCGTGAAGCCGTGGTTTACAGTGAATTTACCTAACAACGCCCCTTAGCTGTTATAAATTCACTGTAAACCACGGCTTCTCTGGGATTATTGCTTTATTGTCGTAGTCCTGTGTTTTTATCAATCATGTTGAATCAATGAAAGCAGTTAAATCTTCTGGTTATAGGGATTTCCTGGATTTCTTCAGCGTGAGAGCGCCCTCTGGCCTTCAGGTGGAGATTTACTACAAGATGCGCATGACAATCGCAGCTTTTGCCTAATCGCGATTGCGATTTATCATGCAGCCCTACCCTTAGTATAAGCTTGGTAATTCTGGTTCAAACGGGCTGAGCTGCATCTGTACCTGAGAGCAGCAGAGCGATTCCTCCGCAGGCGTTCGGAGAGGACATGGAGGTGCCGTTCATCAGCTGCGTGCCGCGGAGCGTCCAGTTGGGCACGGAGGCGATGGCTCCGCCGGGGAGTAGTGTATATTGTTAGAAAAGATTTCTATTTTAAATAAATGCTATTCTTTTTAACTTTTTATTCAAAGAATCCTGAAAAAAGTATCACAGTTTCAAGTTAAAAAGAACAGCATTTATTCAAAATATAAATCTTTTCTAACGATATAAATATTTGTGATCACTTCTTATCAATTTAACACATCCTTGCTGAATAAAAGTTTCAAAAAAAGAAAGAATAAAAATGTACTGACCCCAAACTGATTTTATACATATGTTCCCTTGTTTTGGTAAATCGTGACAAATCATACTAATTTGGTAAATCGTACTAATTCATTCCCTAGTTTTAGTAAATTGTGGCCATGCTGTATTAAATTGTTCTCTCATTGTACTAAATTGTGGCCACATTGTACTAATTAGTTTTCTTGTTTTAGTAAAGTGTGGTCAAGTTGTTTTTAGAAATTTAAAGAAATTAAGAATTCATTCCCTCTTTTAGGGAAAATCATGGTCATGCCGTATTAATTTGTCCCGCTGTTTTGGTAAATCGTGGCTATATCATACTATTTGTGTCCCTGCAGCACAAAAGCAGTGTTAAGTCGCTGGGGTATATTTGTAGCAATAGCCAACAATACATTGTATGGGTCAAAATTATACATTTCTCTTTTATGCCAAAAATCATTAGGTTATTAAGTAAAGATCATGTTCCATGAAGATATTTTG